AAATGTGATGACCCCCCCACCCACCCCAACTCAGAACAAAGTAAATTCCAAACCGTGGGTTTCTGCACAAAACAGATTTCTTCTTTACCAGCCAATTCTTCTCCCTACTTTATGGCTGAAACCAGAAAGCCCCAGGCATCTGACTGCTTCTTTAAATGAACCCCCCAAACTGTGGGCAGCACTGTGTGGACTCTGTTTAGCTCGTTATTTAAGGGTAATCAAGAACATTACGTCGCTCTAAGCAGTTGTTCTTTCCATGACAGTCACTAATTCCTGCTCTGCGCTCTGCCAGGACCCGAGGAGTTCAGCTGAAGTAAGCTCATCCCGTACTCTTTGCTGTGTTACAGGAGCATCTGACAGACCTGAAAGAAGATCTGGATAAGGATGAATGTAAACAGGAGCCCGAAGTTATTTATGAGACAAACTGTCACTGGGAAGGATGCACAAAGGAATATGACACTCAGGAGCAGCTCGTCCATGTGAGTAATGTTGGGAAGAAACCCCGGCGATAAATTTGGGTTGCTGTGCATTTGTCCTCGCTTTTTATCGCAAGCTGCCGCACAGCCAGAGCTCGCTCTGGGAGCCACTCCAGGCGCAAATCAGAAGTACGCAGCCTAAACACTGCCAAATCAGGTCACGTTCCCTTGTAGGGTTTATCTGCGGGGAAGGGCGCACATGCACGTGCACACACATGCACATGTGCACACACACACACACACACACACACACAGAGCTGGCTTCAATTCTGGGGGCCGCCGCCTCCTTTGAAAAGGATCTGTTTGATGAACACAGAGATTTTCACAGTTACTCAGACTGCTATTGATTTTTGTTATTTATTTGGTCATTAATTACTGTGGGATCTGTCCCCTGGAGGCCACCAGTCGAGCATCAGGCCTCACCCAGCTAAGCATTATGTGCACACACATAGTGCAAGCATAATCCAAGCCCCCAAAGAGCGTGCGGTCTAAATTAAGATTTGGCATTTGCTGTCCTTAAGTCAAAAACAAAGAGTTACCCCTCTAGAACCCCTACCTTCGTTACAGGTTAGGGATGAGTGATTTAGTAGAAAGTGTCTTGCATTTGCTTGCAGTGGAAATAATTCTGAGTGTTAAATGCGGGAGATGTGTTTAAGGTGGCAGCTATGTATAGATAATGCTTTTTATTTTTGTAAGCTCTTGTACACTCCATAAAGCACAGCATTGCTCAATAATAACTGATCCACAGTGGCCCGTGCTGACCAGGAAAGCGTGTTTCTGCATTGATCAAGCAATAATGGGTTTTTTTTCCTTTCTTAGCTGTAAACCCCCTCCCCCCCCCTCAAAAAACAAACAAACCCTCTGTAGCTGTCCCCAGAGCAAAGTACAAGGCAGATCCCTGTAGTCCAGCACAATTTATTTCCAGTTCCCACCCCCTGCAAAAAAAACATCCCACACCAAAAGGCAGATATTTGAAGAAATATGCACCGTCCTTATTTTTGAAGGTTTTAAAACCTGAGGCTACTGTGATGTGATCATTAGCAACCGTTCAAGAAGCTGCAGATTTTGATGCCTAGAATATGCACGGGAGTGAAGGTCAGACAGACAGCAGGTTTCCCACTGTGCCCTGAAGACCGTATGTTTGTGCACACAGATGATCATGCCTAGGTGCACAAGGGTGAGTTTGCACGTGCAATACACCAAAGTGCTGGTGGAAGTAGAAGAGGTTGAGGAAGATACCAGAACAACTGGTGAGCCCGTATATTATCAGAGACCTCTGTTCATCCTGGCTGTAGACATTTGTCACTTTTCATTTGAGAGACGCCCCAAGCAACACCTCAAAGGCACGTAAAGAGGGGCAGTCCAACCGACTGAAATGCCAGTCCCACCAAGGTCAGATTCACAAACTGACTCCAGCTGAGAGGCCTGTTTTTCACGTCTGTTCTGCTGGCGTGCAGCAGGTCTGGGCTCCCACCCCAGCCTGGTTTCCATCTATCCTAGATTGCAACTCCTTTCCCAGCTTGTGCTCTGGCTCTCTTGGCCCCGGGTCTGCTGTTGGCCCTCTCTGGGGCTCTTGGCCTCAGCCTCTAGATCGTCTTCAATCTCTCCCCGTCCCGTGGCTCTGGGGTCGCCTGTACCAGGCTCTGCTCTTGCCCCTCCAGGGCTGCGAGCCCCTGGCCCTGTCACCGCTCTGCTCAGTCCCTGTCTATTAGCGCCTTAAGCCCAGCCCAAAGCTGTCCCGTGCCCTTCAGGTGTGGATCCTCCGTGCCTGCTCCCCAGCCGCCAGCTCATCCTGCCATGATGCACCTGGCTCTTCTCACAGTTTTTGCAAGCAGCTTTCTGCCCCACGCACCTGAAGTCTTTTGGAAACAACCTGCAAGTGTTCACCTCCGGGAAGCTGCGAATCTTCGATTTCTGAGCTCCGAATCCCATATGCAGCTGGCTTCAATCCTTTGAATGCAGCTTGTCTTCACCCTTATCCCTGCCCCTTCAGGTGCTGACCTTGAGCGCAAGCCACATTCACACTGAGCCCGTGGTGGCGGTGTCAAAAGCACTGAAGTGCTGGGGTAAAGGGTTCACGCTTGTGTGTCTCCATCATGGCAGTGGTGTTTTCCAGCCTGGATGCTCCTGAGTGTTTTCCAAACCTGGATGTGCTCTGGTGGCCTCCCTCTCAAGTCACTCTTGAGAGTGGCCCCTGGGATGACCCAGGCTTATTTCTGGGTTTGGAGAGTGAGAGGAGGAGCAGGCAGGCCTCCAGCCATCCAGGATATGCTGCGGCCACACGTAGAGGTGAATCTATAGTGAAAAGAAGGTGCCCGGCATCCTCTCCATATTGTCCCACAATCCACATTTCCTCCGCAGTACACCAGGCAGGCTGTGACGGTTCAGACAACCACACTTTTAGCTCTGCGCCGATAGGAACAACACCCAGAGGTTGATCTCCAGGTTGATCTACGCACACCATGCCAGGCTGAGACGGAGTAGGCCTGCTACTCGGTTTTAACAAGCGCGTAACATCGTCCACAAGCAATTAAAGCCACCACCTCAGTAGCACTCAGAGTTGCAGTCTGCAGGCCTGACCTCGATGCTGGAAAAAACCCTGTGTACTGGAAGATCCCAAGTCCAGAGCATTTTTATTTTAGGCTCGCTTGTCAGTTTAGGTCTCCTGAAAACAGCCGAGTGAAGGTGGGCATCAGTTTGGGCAGTGAGATCCCATTCAGAGAGAGACAAAGTTACATGCAGAACAACACAGCCAGTGAGTTATTCCGCAAACTGCTTTATTTCCCTCGCCGTGCCCGTATAACCTGACTCCAGCCTTGCACCAGCTAGGATCCAAACTCCACGCTGCTGCTGAGTTTTCAGCGGGGGCCAGAGGATTTTATGGTACTGAGTAATTAGCAGTAATAGGGGCTGTGCAGCTTTCCTTAGCACATACTTGAGAGCTGCAGTTATTTCCTGCCCGCAGTTCAGCTTTTGACGGCAGGTGGATGCTTTAGAGCTGGAATACAATCTGGCCTGAATCAGTCTTTTTTTTTTTTTTTCCTCCTACCTTTTGCCAGTGTTTTTAAACTTGCAGCATTCAGGGATTTGGAGCTGGAATCTGAGTTCAGTCCACTCCAGAAGTAGAAACCGGGTCCTTCTGAAAACGGGAGATGGCTGGGGGTCAGCACGAGCCGTGGAACAGGCTGGGCCACCCGGGCCATGGCCCGGCCAACTTTGAGCACGTTAACTTATATAACCCACAAATGTGCAATTGTCATTCCGGTTAAAACTGTATAGCTCTTGTTTTAACTGCATAGATAGCTGAATTAATGTGCTCAAAATTGGTCAAGCCATGGCCCGGGTGGCCTGCCCTGTTCCACGGCCCATGAGGGCCAGGATTGTTGCAGGGCTGTGATGGGGGCCCAGCATTTGGCAGCATTTTTATTTAGGTTTTAATTAGGGTTGGGGAATTCTCGAGTTTTGCCATTAGTCTGAGAGTCAGGAGCAATGGGACCAGATCCTCTATTGATTGCAATGGAGCGATACCCGCCTCCATCAGTGGATCAATGACCGGCAAAATCCCTTTTAAAAAGTGTAACAGTGACCAAGCTATTATAGATCACATGGTTGGGAGAGGGCATTTAAATAGAGATGGACCCAGCTGTGTCTTAACACTGCATAAAGGGCAAAGAAATGTCATGGGGGGGGGGGGGTTTATGTGTTTAACAGCCCAGATATTAAAGAGCATAATCTGCTGAAATAGTCCCAGTATTAGCAAAGTGGAACAAAACCACCCTGTTGTTGGGGGTTTTTTTTTCTTTTTGAACAAATATAGCATGCTAAACTCTGAAGGACTCATGGAGTCAGCGCATTGCAGGGTGACATGTCTCAGCGGTTTTAATTTAGCTAAACTACAGGGACATGAGCATCTGGGGCAAGATCAGGTACGCTCCATGCGGGCACAAAGCGTGCTGGTTGCTCGTCCCCAGGGTGTAGGCAGATATGGAGAGCCACTCCTGACCACTAATTTATATCAAATTGCATGAGCTGTGTCATGTCGGCAAAAGGAAGTAAAAGGGTCCACTTTCCCCCCCCCTGTCCGTAGTGTCAGGTAGGTCTTAGCAAGCCTTTCACTGCCTCTTGGTGTGTTTGTACACCAATGGATCTGATCCTGGGTAAACAATGATAAAAAAAAAAATCCTCTGCACCACTGGTCTCTTTTCGTACTGGTAGGTTGTGATGTGTTGGTAGGTGGCTTGGCCAGCCCGTGGATGGCCAGGTGGGAGCCTGCAAGAAGTTGCATGTTAGTCATCTCCAACTAAAGACCAGTCATTTTTTTCTGCAAGTTCTTACCCCTTCCTTCCAAGTCTACCCTGAATTCCCCTTTGCCCTGCATGGCTCTGATATGTCCCAGCCCAGCTGCTCCAAGACTTTTTTTTAATATATCTTAGTTAAAAAAAGGAGCATATACAAATGGAAGAACACTTTCTATTTGGTGAGTGTCATTTCTAATTGGACACCTGCTCTCTTCTGAAGCCAGTGGGCACCTGTTGAGAGGCATCCTGGACTACAGCCTAGCAATCATGGACTACATGTTGTATAGTTGTGCTCCTAAATGCCCCCTATCCTCCACAAAAGGCCCCAGAAACAAGAATGGGGGTTAATGTGTTGCCTTGAGGCCTCTCAGTGGTCTCAAGAGGGGGGCTTTTACCATGTATAGGCCAAATTTGGTTTACAGAAGCTGGGGACCTGGCCTAGTGCATCTGCTGCACTTTCAACAGAGTAAATGCAGCCTTCATGCTTCAGTAAACTGTCCTAGTCGCATCCTTCTTTATTATTGCACTATATTTTGGTCTGGTAGATCAGCGTTTGGGCCAGATTCCTAAGCTGCAGTAAAGGGCCAGCCCAAGAACACGGTTGTCCTTGCAGCTCTGAAGGAGTGCATATTGTGTGTGTCACAACAGCCCCATCGACTGACACAGCGATGGTTTTCCTTCCCTGCTTTCAAACACCATGTGCTCTGTTGGTGTTGGCTGCTCTAATAATGCCCTGCTTTCCCCTCTCCTGCTAGCACATCAATAATGATCACATCCACGGAGAGAAGAAGGAGTTTGTTTGCCGCTGGCAGGACTGCACCCGGGAGCAGAAGCCGTTCAAGGCTCAGTACATGTTGGTGGTGCACATGCGACGTCACACAGGGGAGAAACCCCACAAGTGCACGGTGAGCCACGTCGGGGCGGGTTGGCGGGCGGTGGGTGGTGGTGGCCATTTGAATGCATGTCTGAAATGAGGCAGTGGTTGCCACCACAGGTCTCTGCAGGAACAGTCCCCACCACGTGGCACGTTCCTCACGAGCCGTCTTGGGGCATTAAAGCTAACAGCAAGGAAGGGTTGTCCAGTGCTTAGGGCCGGGAACTTGCGTGGTCTGTCCTGCCACGGAGGTTTGTAGTGACACCAGGACCTGCTGTCTGCAGAAGGTAGGTAGTGGATGGAGGGAATGCCATGGGCATACTATACTTGGACCTCAGTAACGCTTTTAATACAGCCCTATGGGCTGAACAGTTGGAGAAACAGGTAGGCAGGTTGAATGAATGTACAGTGAGTACGTAATTGCCTGAGTGACCCCAAGCAAATGGCTGGATGTCAGAGTGCCAGGGGATTTCGGGTGGGATTCTGCGCCTACTCTTGTTTGGTGTTTTTATTAATGACTGTTTTTACTTCAATGATTACCAGACTCTCGTAAGGTGTTGCAAATAGCCTGACTCCTCACTGCCTGCAGTGCTGAGGTCCTTCTCCAGTGCGGCATTGCTTGTCTAAGCAATGACCCCTCTACACATGCAGGGGTGATTCCCCCACCCTGGGTGCAGGAAGCTTTCCGGGCCAGAGGATTGCTTCAGAGCGATTCCTCCCACTTCAGGAGTTTCTGCACCCCCGAGCCCTAGGGAGCACGACAGCTAATTGTGCAATACCTGGAAAGATGTAGAGGGGACTTTACTCAGCTGAGCAGTGATTTCTCCCAATGCAATTTATTTTAAACAAAGAGACAGGCACAGTGATGGGGACATGCGTAAATCCTCAAGCTGCAGCGAATGGATCGGGGGGGTCAGGCCCCTTTCTCCAGGTGATCTCACCTTTGCATAGGCAAATCACCACTTCAGTCTGGGAACAACCAGCATGAGCACCTGCAGACACTTATCTGAAAGCAAAACATGGGTGTCGGCCATCCCCCACTCGCTGCAGTGTTGTGACAATGCCTGGGATTGCTAGGGTGCTCCTGTGCATGACCGCATGCTTAGTTACCAGTGTTTTCCAGTGAATGGAGCAATATTTTTCAGTGCTTGCCACGTGCATGGGGTGAGAGGGAATTGTGTTCCTTTTATTCAAAGTCACCATACGCTGAATGAACCCCGTGTGCTAGAGGAAGCTGACCAGAGAGGATGTGACGGGTGCAATATGACAACCTAGTAAGACTTGCCTGTGCAAATGTAGTGGTTGCCTTTCATCCGACGTTTATGCATCATAAAGTTAAAAATCCCAACCTTCCCTGAACCAGACTACAGCATCCTATGGGAATGGTTTCAAGTACCACAGCCTACACCAGTGACCAACACAATGACCATTACTGTAGCTCTTTCCCATAACGGATAAAATACCAAAGCCATATTTCTTCAGGATCAGTCTGATGAGTGCTACAAGTGTTGTCTCCTTTTCCCCAAATGGTTCTGAATTATAAAGTAGAATAAATTTTGCTTTTAGAGAAAGAAGATTTTTTTTTTTTTACTGGCCAAAGATGTCTCCTAAATTTATGTAGTCCATTGTGCCAGTATGGATAAGAGAAGCCAGTGTTTGTAGGCAACGGCACGCACAGGAGTGATGTGGCCCGCACCCCATGTGGCCGTCATGGCTTTCCCCAGCTCACAGGACTTTTTGATTTTTATTTCCCAGCCCGCAGACATTTACAACGGGATTGACTGGATGTGGCTTTCCATGCAAGCCAGCAGCGAGGATCAGACTCATGCCTCTAGATTCATCGTTCTCTAGAGACACCTTAACGATCTGTCATTATATCCCTTTTCAGTGGCAAAGACCTTCCTAAACAGCAGCCTCAAGTGGCTCCGGTGTCCATCGGTGGGCACTGATGGAAGTGATTCGATTCAGATGAGCAGTCTGCTGGATTGGGAATGACTGGCAGCTTCGAAATCCAGGAGCCCTCTGAAAGTGCTTGAATAAGGATAGCTGTATGGGATTGTCAGCACTCTCATTGCCTCGACTCCAAAGGCACATTTGAAGACGTCACTCTAAAGGTCTTGCTTGAAGCGCCCATTTTTGGAAATGTCATGTTTTCGAATGCACTGGCACTTTGGAGTCATTGCTGCTTGGAAAAGCTATGGGCAGCATCCAGTCTTCTCTCGGTCATTTTGGTTGCTTGGCTGAATACAGAGAGAAGGTCCTCACCCAGCCAGCACTGAGGTCTGCCATCGTTTTATATCTGAACTGCTTTTTTTTCCAGGAGGAAGGCTCCTGGGCTTCTGTCACGCAAGAATCCATCTCTCTCCAAGATTAAAGTTCTTGGTTTTTTAGCTGGTAATATCCAGCCACCCATGTTCAGTGCCTTCAGGAAAAAGTGGAACTGAAGCATAATTAGGGTCACTTCAAAGCTTGCTGTATCTCCATTTCTCTTTTGAAAGATGGGTTTGTCTCTGAAATGCTGAAGTCAGCGGAGCGAGAAGGCCTTGGTCAAGATTTTCAAAACTACCTCGTGATTTTGGGGGTCTCCATTTATGAGCACTGTGGTGGGGTCTAATCTCCAGGCATTCAGCCTTGCTTGAAAATCGGGTCCTTTTCAACTCATATCAGGTCAGGCATCCAGAAAGCAAAGGCACCTACTATCACTACCGCCTCTTGAAAATCCTGGTCTACTCGGGGACAGCCAGGTCGCCCTCAGTAACGTGAGCGCTCTTTTGTCAAACACCCCCCCTGGAAGGGGAGGAGGAATAAGAAACCGATGAGAAAGGAAAGACCCTCCCTTCTCCCTGTTGATTAATCACTCCTATTCTGTTTTTCTTTTAGTTTGAGGGTTGCTCCAAGGCCTATTCCCGGCTGGAGAACTTAAAGACACACCTGAGATCTCACACTGGAGAAAAGCCCTATGTCTGTGAACACGAGGGTTGCAATAAAGCCTTTTCCAATGCTTCAGACAGAGCTAAGCACCAGAACAGGACGCACTCCAATGAGGTAAACCTATGCACACTGCACACGCCATTATTATCTTTTTCATTTCACTGACAATATACACGACACGCTGGACTCATGTAGAAAGAAATCTGCCATCACAAAAGGTGTTCTTTGCTTTTTTTTAACAGCATTTATTTTGCTGGCAAGCCAGACCACATTAGCTCTATTGTTATGAAAGCCATGTTTGAAACCATAAACAGATGTGGACATCTGCAAACTTTCTAATTGGCTTTTGAAATTAAAGCTGGTGCTTTCCAAAATCATATACTTTTCAACAGGGCAAGCAGGTTCCTACACTTATACATGTTTTCTTTTTCTTTCTTCCCTTTTTTTAACAATGCTGCAGCCTAGACTTGTGGTGGTATAATTCCTACCCAGCATCCTGACACTTTGGAAATAATACTACCTCCGGCACTTGATGTACGATGATAAAGCGCAATGCAATGCTTTGTTAACCCTGCTTAATTAAGACCCGCTATTAGTAGTTGGGGAATGCAGGAAATTGCCTTTATTGTTACGCATGTGATGGTCTGCTGCAACCGGCTAAGGCTGAGGATTTAAATTTATATTACCACTAATTAGCTGACGACGGGAAGAAAAAACAGCGCTCCAAATTCTAATAGCATTTGCGACCATGAAGAATTTAGTATGTAGCCTAATTTGTAACAGTTAAATATGAACCACTGGAGAATGGAACATGATTGCAAAGGTTGACAGCATTTTAAAGTGATACCGTGTCTAGGTAGGGGTTGCTAGGAGTATTTTTGCCTCCTGCATAACACGAGTTAAGGATAACCAAACTCCAAAAAGCTTTGCAGATGTAATAGTTGTTGTAAATACCTAAAATCTTGGCTGCTTCTCTGAGCTACTTGGGTCAGGGAAGGAGGCACAGTGTAGATCCAGGCATCCTTTGAATGTGTCTGGGTTGGACTCCAACTACTGAAGACAGATCTTAATCTCATCAGTGAGCCAGTTGATGCCAGTGAGGGATTTAGAGTTACTTTCTTGCCGCTCTGGTTTGCCCCAAGGCTGAGTGACTTGGAATACAGATGTGCAGATGTTAAGACCAGAGGAAACCATTAGATCCTCTAGTCTGACCTGTTGTATACCACAGACCATAAAATTTCACCGTTAACCCTGTATTGAGCCCAGTCACTCATGTCTCATGGAAGGATGAGGTGTGCATACCTTCTGCAGAAGCCGACTGTCCATTCTCCGGTGCTAAATCACCCTCACGGATAAAAGATTGGATGCATTTGAATTGGTCTGGCTACAGTGACCAGACTCTGAGTTTTATTATGCCTTCTTCCACTAGATCATCGAGCCCTTTCATTCCTGGTGTTGCCTCCCTATGAAGGTACTTGTGCATTGTCACTTAGGCCGTGGACAGGAGTTCATTTCTAGCGGTAACTATTTCTGTGAAATTATTACTGTTAGAAAAATAACCTGGGAGCTAGGACACACGTTCATTCCAGTGCCCTGGCTGGAGGGCTACACAGGGGCAGCTCTCCAGCCAGGAGGCACTAGAGGGGATGGTGAGTGGGGCATTGTCCTGTGATGGAAACCATGGCACAGCTGCCTCCAGCCCCCCGCACTCCCTTGAGTCAACCCAAATGAATGCATGATGGGGGGAGCCTGGGGGACATTCCTCCTCCTGGCAGCCCTTCTGGGGCTCTTGGAGGGTTCCCAGTATGGGTGACTGGCAGGGGAAGAGGGCACAGGTGACTGGTAGAGGGGGAATTGGGGGGTATGTGCCCCCCCAGATATTGGCCCCCGACTTGGCACTGCTTAGGATGGGGTAGTTTTTTTGCCGCATGGGCCAGCGACATTTGGGGGGGGAGGGCACTAAGTCATGGCACAGAAGTATAGGAGTGGATATGGGGGTTTTGGCCTGCCTCTGGGCCTGCCCACAATTGTGCCCACCCAGACTCAGGAGGCACCAGTCACCCCTGGCAGGGGAACTTTTTCACAGGAGGATCCCCACTGGGCTTCCTGTGCTTTCCCTCCCCCATCCCTCAAGGGAGGGAGGGAGAGTAGAGGACTGTGGGATACTGGTTGTCCTCAACACCCTAGAAAAGTATACGGCTATTCAGGTTAATGCATGACAAGGGAGATTTTCCTCTTAAAAACAGATCTGACTTTCCTACAGAAGAGCCAGTTCTCTTCTGCAAGAAATCCCTGGAAAGGCTTTCCACTCTCTTTTCAGGCCAGGAGAAAGGTTTTTCTCCCGGCATAAGTGTAATACCTCCCATGACCTTAGTCATCTCTTCATTTTTGTTTTGAGAAGCTAAACAGATGGAGCTGTTTGTGCCTTGCTATAAGACATCTTCTCCAGCCCACAAATCATGGTGGTCGCTCTGTCCTGTCCCCTCTGCAGTATTTCAGTAGCCTTTTAAGGTTGGACAAAAGCAAATTTTGTTTCTGTGGGCCCAGTTTTTACCAAGCAGTAGGAGCTGCACTATGTCCCTAATGACCTTCTTCATTATGTCGGTACAGAGCTCAGGCTCTACCCTGCCCTTGCATGAATAGATGTCATGCCCATGCCCTGTCTAGCCTTACATTTTCAGTAGGCCCTTCGATATGCCCTCAGGATGTCACAGCCAGTGGCCCATTACTGATTTCCCAAGGCTGGGAGATGTCTGAGTGTTGTGAGGTTCCTCCAAATGGTTCTTTAATTTGATTACCTGCTCAGTCGCACACCCACCGACTCACCAATGAGTTCAAGGTGGCACAAGTCTGCTGTGGGCCAAAGTCTCCAAGGGACCCCCTTCCATACTCAAGTGAAATGTGGTTGAATTATTGAAATCCAGGGTCACAGCCTTTCTGAGGAGCATTGCAATTCTGCCAGCCTACAGAGAGGGAGCTTCGCAGGTGCTTGAAAAAGGCTAGGGAGAAAGCATTAGAGAAGTATGAACTGGCAGAAGACTCCCAACTACATGATGCCTCTTTCTGATTAACACTTAACACATTCATAAGCATCCCAGCAAAACCACCATTATGCGTTATTCAGCCATCAGTAAGATTTAATTTATGATGAAATGGATCCACCTCATCAAGCGAGTAGAATTTCCTGTCCGCCTGGCAATATTGGCAAGATTTCTGTGAGTTAGTCACATTTATAAAATATCAGACTGGACTATTCACATACTAGGCTCTACTCCCTTTACTCGAATGGAGGTATTAATAATAGTCATACTACTTCTATAGTGGCTCATCCAAGCATCTGAGTGTGAGCTACCCTTAATTTAATTCTTTGCATCTCTGCTTATTCACTTATAAAATGGGAGTAGCAGTCTCTACCTCAGAGGGGTATTCTAAAGATTAATTAATTAAAGGGACTTGCCTCAAACCAGTCAGGAAACTTGCAGCAGAGTTACTCTTGTGCATACGATGATGATAGTTTTCTGCAAAAATAAATATAAATACACGTCCCCATATCGATCACTGCTGCTCTTTGGCCAAACTGGTAAGCAGACATGCAAAGGAATAGAAATGACCATTTTTGGTTAACCTTTGAAAAGCATGTAGTGTTTGTTCCTTTTCATGGATCCATTACAATGTCTCAGTGGAAAAATACTTAGAGCAGTTGTGAAGCTGAGATGGTGCTTGTGATGAATTCAGACCTTTGAAAGCAGCAGCCCTAACACCCTTGGTGCTAATTGACTTTGGAACTGGAAACTGGATAAATAAGAGTTTGAAAGAAAGGTAGCGCTTTCCTCCCTTCTCTTTCCAAAAGCCTGGCCTCATCTTTGTTCTGCTGCAGCAATCAATGATTCATGATTTCAGGAGCGCAGTGCTATCATCTTAAAAAGCACGGCATGCCTGTGATTTGTTTTGCATGATAACAGATTTCAGGGTGACAGGTGCTGGAGATGTACAGGAGATTAGATAGGCAGAATCCCGTTTGGCTCGGTTGCTATGAATTGTCATAGATCCAGGAGGGCTCCAGCCTTTTCTCGCAGGGTGTAGACCTCATCTTAATCGAGACAAGCCTTTGTGGTCACATCCTGCTGTTCCCATTGGTCCAAGCCACCTGCCCTTCCATCCATAATCAGGAAACATTCCTGTGGCCACCAGAGCAAATACCTACATGGAAAAGTAATATTCGGAAAGTATTTCATGAATTTTTTAGCTGCCTTTTTAATTTAGCAGCAGAAAACAAGGAGGAGAGCCAGCCCCAAGTGACTAGCCCGGTCTCTTTGGACTGCCAGCAGTCCACGGATCACCGTGTATGAATCTCTGCCATAGCTGTTTTGCAAAGCCATAGGGGGTAGATGATCCGCGCTTTCCCACCACCACCCATCCCCATTGTCTTCCGTGGGAACATGACATATTTTTGCCTGTAAAACACCCAGATTGTTTCAGCTTTCTTTAACCGTAACATCACATTTGTTGTCTTAACAGAAACCCTATGTCTGCAAGATCCCAGGGTGCACAAAGAGGTACACAGACCCCAGTTCCCTCAGGAAACACGTTAAAACTGTCCACGGGCCCGATGCCCACGTCACGAAGAAGCAACGCAATGACGTTCACCCAAGGCCCCCGCCGCTCAAGGAAAACGGCGATAACGAAGCCAGTGCCAAGCAGAGCAGCAAGATCTCAGAAGACGGCTCTGAAGCCAACGGTACCGCCAGGGGCATGGAGGACTGCTTGCAAGTCAAGACGATAAAGACGGAGAATTCTGTGGTAAGAGAAGTGATCGCTTAAAAGCGAAAGCGTGGCCCACAATTCCTCAAAAAAATGGAAAGCTAATGACTTTTCCTGCCCCCACCCTGTGTATTTGTCAGGTACCCAAAACTGTCCAAATAATCCCAAACCTTCAAAGCCTCAAAGCTGCCACAAGTCTCTGGGGCGTGTTGTGTTAGGGAGGTCATGCCGTGGTACGGCCGTTGTATCAGAATAGGATGACGCGCCATCCTGAAATGTCGTCCTACGGCCATGCCGCAGGGGTGAAATTGTAATTACTGTGTCATTGCAGGACCATTATTTTTGCCCCACAAGATTGTTTAAATTAGACAGTAGTCTTATTTCCATTCCAAGCCAGGTATGGGCCATTTCAGTACTTGTGCCTATATCTGTGCGCGCCGCGGTAGGTGAAGGAAATCCATCGTGACACCCTGCCACCCTTTTGCCTTCCAGTATTTCTCCTTCCTGTAGCAGCCAAAAGGACAACATTTTGGCTTCCTGCATCAGCTCAGGGTAAAATCAGGGGTGATGAATGGTTGAGGTGGTTTTCACCTGCTGAAGAGTTTGTCCAATCTCCTTTTTTTTCTTTTCCGTGAGTCAAGACAACTTTGCAAGCATTGGAGCCTCCAAAATATATATTGTCTTGAAGTTGAGCCAGCTAAAATGTCAGTGCCACCAGAGTGAGGCATCAGAGGGCTAAATGCTGCTGGGCCAAACTGCAGTAACATGTGAGTTTAGCCCAAGAAGGAATGGACTATTTTCACAGCCCAGCAGGCAGTTTTTCTGGCTAGCAGGATAGATTTTTACCTTCACAAGCTTCTATATTTGGTGGAAAAACTCAATGCGAGAGCAGCCTCGTCCCAAGAAAAAATATTTTGACATGAACATGTGAGAATACTTTCCCCCCACATTTTCCGGAAGGCGATTTACCGTTGTGTGTGCCGCGTTCTTCCCATAGCTGCACCCTGTGCAGCCCGCTTGCAATTAGGCACACCGGACCAGATCTTTGCATCTGCTACACCCTGCTAGCCCTATTGCCTTTGCTTGGATTGCACGCCAGCCCCTGGGCAGCAACACTGCCTTTGTTCATTCAAGTCCTACAAGTCCTGGAATAGTCAGCTTGAAACACATCGCTTGTTTTGGTGACTCTAGGGTCTTTCTGCCTGACCCAGCATTGGATCCACTGAGATCTATAGAAATCCCCCTTCTCTCTTCAGTGAGATTTGGATTCAGGTCTATTAAATTAAGCTTCTGAAATGCTGGGATTGGGGGAGGTGCGGGGGGGTTATATTGGGGAACAGGATGCTGCTAATCTCCTTGAATCGTGTCCTTCCTGGCTCCCCTCTTTCACTAACTCGATCCTTTCTGTTAATGTTGCCTTTGTTCTAACCACTTGTTCTTTGTTCCCACTTCCCTTTCTTTACTGTACCTTCCTAAGGACAGTCGGTACTAAGGTGAGCACTGAAATCCTTTCTCTTAAAAACTCTGTTTAATACTGTGATGTATTCTGGGCCATGGGTCTAGCTAAGTGGACTATGAAAGAGTAGACAGAAGTGCCAAGAGGGGGTAGAGTTGTGGGCAAATAATAGGAGACCATTTGGTGGAGGGCTAGGCATCTTTTGGAGTTCCCCTGGGGTTTCTCTGGCTTCATTGCTTCCAGAATTGGTTTGAACCTGTGTATTGTACAGTAAGTTTCTGATCAAAGGGTCCTGGACTAGTTCAGCTCTGCTCCATTGGGGGGTTTCTGAGCAAATTACGGTACTCTTCCTGCCCACTCTCCCTACCAACCTAAACATGTTGCTTCCAAACACTCCCAGTTTCTCCTACCCTCTGGAACAAGAACTAGGAATTGGGAACCCAGGCGTCCTGCCTAGCAGTGAAGCATGCTGCCTCCAAGCAAGTTCACTTCGAGTGTTTGGTGCAGATAAATTGCTCAGTATAACCAACTTATGTTCATGGAGCAGCAGTGTTTTTTGGTGTCTCCCTCTGGTGCAAGACACCAGTGATTTTTTTTTTTTAAATCTGTGGGGTGGTCTTGTGAAATTAATGCAATTTTGTTCATTCACTTTACTTTAAACGAGCTGTCAAGAATGTGCTGCTGAAAGGCCAACGGTTAGTGCCAACATTGGGTAGGGGAACAGCATTTTCCTCTTACCTGGAGATGTTTCTTGTCTGCAGGGCAGAGTTGAGACACATCAGTGGGGTAATCAGTGGGGCAGTGTCTTAGAAAGGGGGTGGGTTGTGCACCACGCTTCCCTGGCCTGTATCAAATCACGTTGTTGGGTAAGAAACCTTGGTCTCAAGGGTCTAGCACCCTGCATGTTAAAAAAAGCCGGGTTTCCAACAGCAAAACTCAGACCCTCTATTACTTCTCCTTTCCAAGATGTGTCAGTCCAGTCCTGGTGGCCAGTCGTCGTGCAGCAGTGAACCATCACCGCTTGGCAGCACCAACAACAATGACAGTGGAGTAGAAATGAATATGCACAGTGGGGGAAGTCTGGGAGATCTGACTGCGCTGGATGACAACGCTCCTGTTGTGGACTCAACAGTCTCATCTGGTAATTCGACGGTCAGCCTTCAGCTGCGGAAACACATGACAACGATGCAACGGCTCGAACAGCTCAAGAAAGAGAAACTCAAGACAGTTAAGGACTCCTGCTCATGGGTGACCCCAGCTCCACAAGCCAGAAACACCAAGCTGCCTCCCATATCAGGAAACGGTAAGCCATGGGCCTATATCCTTGCCCCTCTTTGAATTCATCAGGCCATGCCTCCTGTCTCTCAGCAAAACATCTGCCCCCATAGGAGAATTACGTCCTGTAGGAGAATTACCCTGCCCTGTCGGAGAATTATTTCCCTCTCTGATTAATGAGCCATCTTGCAAGATGCAAACTCAGGTGTAAACTTGGACATATACCATGGTGCACAAGAATGGTTATGGAAAAGTGGGGCAAATGTGCTTGTTCCTTGGTTTACCCAGGGCTAGTTTGCACACATCCTCCCTTAGGGTTGCTTTGATTTGTGCAAGCAGTGGGAATTCCCCATGGTTTTTTTATAGGATTTTTGGGGGTTGCTTGAGCACAGCGGTAAAGCAGCTACATCTCTCTTCTGCTTTGTTTGTTGGCATGCCCTTGCATAGGGATATAGGACTGGAAGGGGCCTCCTGGGACATCAAGTCCAGTCCCCTGTGTTTGCAGGCCACCACTGAAACCCCTCACACACAGCCACAAGGTACAATACCCGAAACCCCAAAAGCTCCCCATAACCTGCCACAGGGAAAATCAAGCCTGATGAGGGCCCTGTTAGTGCCCCGCCACAATAATGCCTGTCCCATTACAGGGAAGTAACTGGTTTATATTGTGTCATGGTGATGGCAGAAAACTCCCTATGCTAGTTTGATGCCAGGGGGGAACTCCTGACAAGGGCAGCATTATGCTCCTGTTGTGTCCCTCCAGCTGTGCATACAAAAAGGACCAGCACGCACAAAGGGTGCTCCCATTTTTTTACTTTGAGCACACAGTCCTCTGCCTCTAGCTTTTCAATGGCGATTCCAGCAAGTGACCAGATGACTGAGACGGGATCCCACGGATCCCACACCCTATATTCTGCCTGTCATAAGCCCATAAGGATAGTTTCATTGTTTCATAGAGGGCCATGAAAACTAACAAACGGAAGTTGTTTTTTACACAGCATTTAATTGCAGTGTGGACATGGGCGACTGGTGCCTCCCGAGGCTGGGGCGGGCACCAAATCACTGACCGGGGCGGGGGCTCCCCAGCGGCTGATTGTCGACTGGGGGTGGTCACCAGCAGCCGATCACCAGCAGCAAAGCTGGAAGTGCACTTCCACTGACACTTCCAGTTTTGGGGCTACCATTTCCAAGGGGTGCATGGGCAATCTCAGGGGGTGCATCCGCGTGCACCCCCTATGTGTTGCCAATGAGTGTGGCTCTCATTGCCACCAGATGTCGTGAAAGCTGACAGTTTAACCAGATTCAAAAAGGGACTGGGTACATCCTGGGAGGAAAGGGGCATCAGTAGCTATTGAGCATGGGAGTTAGGGATACTAGACTTCAAATGCTGGAAGCTGCAATTGAAAGAGGAACCGTAGAAAAAAGTCCTGGTCATATCCAGGTTGTAGCTGTATTGGTCCAGAAGCAAAAGGAATCAGGACTTGTGGTAGAGGTGATATCTTCTATTAAACCAACTAGATTTTGGCAATGTATTTGAAATTTGAATATTTTTAAGAATTTTTTTTGCAAACATTTTTCTTACGGAAAGATGTCACCTCTACCCCAAGTCCTGGTCATACCCAGTCACTCTCCCTTTCAGCATCCTCTCTCTGCCATGGTGTGACACAGGATACTGGGCAAGATGGACCTGTGGTCTGACCCAGGAAATGGCAGTTCTTATGTCTTGTGTGTTCCTCGGTGGATGTAGTAACAAACGCTGCAAAGGACCATGCAGTAGTGGCTCAGCTTCGGGGGCACATCTCAGTGTCCTCTTCTCCCCGGTGCTCCTTGCCTGGTGCTCTCACAGGAGCAAAGCTGCAGAGGAAGCTCTGCCTTCATTGTCAGTTAGTAAAATTTCCATCGGTCTCCAGTCGCTCATTGGTAGCACGTAGGCAGCAGTGTTTATGCACCAAGCAGCTAACTAACCCGGTTTTCCCCCTCACCGCTCTCCTCCAGGCTCCTTACTTGAAAACAATGGTGGCTCCTCTACTACCCTGCCGAATCCCAGAATAATGGAGCTGTCCGTCAATGAGGTTACGACACTGAATCAATTAAACGAACGGCGAGACAGCGCCACGAGCACCATCAGCTCCGCCTACACGGTCAGCCGCCGGTCATCGGGGATATCCCCTTACTTCTCCAGCCGCCGCTCCAGCGAAGCGTCGCAGCTCGGGAATCGCCCCAACAACACCAGCTCCGCCGACTCCTACGACCCGATTTCCACCGATGCCTCGCGCAGATCGAGTGAGGTCAGCCAGTGTAGCGGGATGCCAGGCCTGCTCAACCTCACACCGGCTCAGCAGTACAGGCTGAAAGCCAAGTACGCGGCTGCCACCGGCGGCCCTCCTCCCACTCCTCTGCCCAACATGGAAAGAATGACCCTGAAGAATAAGATCTCTCTTCTTGATGGGCCGGAGCCAGGTTTGCCTTCGTTTCGCCTCCCTCCTGGGCCGAGGCGCTGCAGCGATGGCAGCACTTACGGGTACACGGCCGCCACGGCTTTTCCTCACGAGGTCCCGGGCAACACCACGAGACGTGCGAGCGATCCTGTCAGAAGGCCGGTTGCAGAACTGCCGTCCCTCCCCAGAGTCCATCGCTTCAACAGCACCAACAGCATGAATCCTCTCCCCCCTCCACATCCTGTGGACAGAAGGAATTTCGGCCTTCAGAGCTACATGCGCGCCGATGGGAACCTTCCCAGGCACGTCTATTCGCCTCGACCTCTAAGCATTAGTGAAAATATTGCCATGGAAGCAATGTCTGGCGAGACAGATGGCCCCGTTGGAGAGGATGACATTATGCTGCCAGATGATGTAGTGCAATATATCAAATCTCAGAACAATGGGACAGCTGTGGAAAGCACTTCCATGGGGTACGGTAATGAGATGCAAAACTTCCAAGGCAATGGCAAACTACAACCCCAGAGCTTGCCCGGCCAACGCAGGATGGCTGTAGCTGATGCAGGCCTGAGCCATTTGGGTCCGATGATGGCAGATTGCCAACTGAGCTTTGACGTGTCCTCAAACATGAGTAAAAACAATATGCCCGTCCAGTGGAATGAGGTTAGCTCGGGAACGGTTGATGTTATGTCTAACCAAGCAAAGCAACCGTTTTCCCAAGGCAACTTAGCCGTTGTCCAACAGAAGCAGAACTTTGGCCAGTATCAAAACTTCAACCAGCAGCAAATGCAGATGAGTCAGAGTGGCATGAATGTAACCCAGCAAAACTTCTTGCAAAGAAATGTGAGCCTAGATGGGCAAAGGCTAAATTGCATGCAGATGAGGCAACAGCAAATCAATCCCGGCATGAACATGAACCCGGATTTGAGCCCACACCCAGGGTATAACCAGCCTCATCAAATGTTGAGCCCAAATGCAATCGGTGGAGATCCAAACCAACTTTCTCCTTCTTGTAGCAACATGGCAGTGAAGCCTGGACCCCACATTCATCCTCAGCAAATGGACATGGCGACTGATCCCTCCTTAATGCTCAACAGTAACGGTGAACGCGTGATGCTGAATCAGGTCATGCATGAACAAAATCAGCAGAGCTATTCATCTCAGACAAATCACCTGAACTTTGCCATGAGTCAGGAGGTGTTCCATCAGCCCGCTTCTTTAATGACCTCAAACCAGCCAAACTTTGAGCCCCAACAGAGCATGATGGGTTCAACCGGACAGGCCTACACTCCCGGGATGGTACAGCCTCACCCGCCGCCTGAACCGAGTCCAGCAAACAGACATCGAGGACTGCGCACCATGCAGCAGCTAGGCTACATGAGGACTGCCCACCCTCCTAACGACATGAGCCCCGGCCAGGAAACCACTCCAAAAAGAACCAGCGACATGATGCCGACGCAGCCTCTGCAATGTGCAGGCGGCGCAAGGGAGACCAATTTGATGTACTATTACGGTCAGATCCACATGTACGAGCAAAACGGTAACTTCGATAACTCTGTCGCGGACTGCCGAGTCCGACAGCAGCAGTGTGCCATGAGCAGCAAGCCGGCTGCTATGCCTTCTCCCGGAGCTAATCAGGTGTCCAGCACGGTGGACTCGCAAGGTCTGGAGCCTCCCCAGATAGATTTTGATGCCATCATGGATGATGGAGACCACTCGAGCCTGATGTCAGGAACCCTGAGCCCTAGCATTCTGCAGAACCTCTCCCAGAACTCCTCTCGTCTAACGACTCCACGAAACTCTCTGACGCTGCCGTCCATCCCAGCGGGAATAAGCAATATGGCAATAGGCGACATGAGCTCCATGTTAACCACCCTGGCGGAAGAGAGTAAATTTCTGAACATGATGTCTTAATGATCAAGCACAAGTGTTTAATAGTATCCAAGGGACCCTCTGTGAAGCAGAATTTATGAATGTGCTTTTTAAAATAATCGGTTTCGATAGAGTAGAATTTTTTTTTTTTGGTTTTTTGGCAAGTATTAAATACGTTAAAGGGATTCCACGTAATAAAGAAGACGTCTCTTGTACAGACTTATGTAAACTATATAAAGGCAATTTAGCGCCGAAAGAGTGCACCGCTAGTGTTATTGTTTCGGCTTGGTTTGAGGAGCACTGAGCAGCGCTACCGCCAAGCTAGAATACTGCATAAAAATGGAGAAAAAAAGTAACTCCTTCCCCCCCCCTGTAAATAGCACCCCCTTCATTTTCCTTTAGTTACGTTTGCAAAAATAACATTTTTCAACCCACTCCAGAAACAGATGGAGGGGATGTGGTTTTGATCTGAATAAAAGCCATACTGTGTACTCTGCTCTGATGAGATTAGCATTTAGTTATGTCTCCAAATAAGTCCACTCCCAGCAGTATTGTTTTGTACCATAAATACCTTTGTACCTTGCAGCGCCGTAGAAAGCATCGATTCCAAACAGCTTCTCAGAAAAGTGCCTTACTATGTTTTAGTGTTCAGTAGTCAAGGCATCTCCATTAAAATCAAATATAGCGCATTGCCGGAAGCATATATAAAATAGGATAAATGTACATTTAAAAAGCATAGCAGTGTTTCTGAAGAAGAAAAAAAAAAACAACCAACAACAGCAAAACCTGAAAGACACGTTGAATGAGAAACATAAAAGATTAATGCTCGCTTTTATCAAATGTGTTTACAACGTCGGTTGTATCGTGTGCAGAAGGCAGCAGACGGCATCCATCCCAAAACCTCTCTAATGGCCAGAGGGCTGTGATCCTACAAAGATTTATGCACATGCTTAACTTTACACGCTATGACCAGCAACTTCAATGGAGTAGTACGCTTCAGCTGGGACCTTAAGCAATTCTTTTTAATCAGGGAGTTATAATTTAAGAATGAGACTTCACCGCGGCTTAGCTCCATTTCTTTTTCCTCGTCCCGATGGATCAGATGCTGAAATTATGGCAGGGGGACCATGTCATGATCTAGTTAGTTCAATTAAGTGTTTGAAACTTGGGGCAGGAGATCAGATCTCGGAGTGAAAATCCGCCTGAAATTTTTCTCTTGGGTGGGTGGAAGGAATATAACTCTTAAGAGAATCCCCCGCCAAGTACGAGTTTTCTGAGTTTCTTTTATTTTAGGGCCTGATCCAGCTCCCGTTGCTGTCAGAAGAAAGACTCCTTAATGCATTATTTATTACAGTCACTAGACAAAAGGGTAGATGCATGAACAAAAGACCTCCCTGAAATACGCTGTCTTAAACAGAAGTGTCTTCCCTTCTGAATACTGTAGTACTAAAGTCCATTTACTTTGACGGTGCTAAGTACATCTAACAGAAGGGTGCAGATGTGAAATCCCTTCCTGATTGCAAACATCCAGTGTAATGAGCTTTTTAAAGTCAGACCAAATGGGCCTGGTTCTCATTGGCAGGACTCTGTTTTCCTCTCTGTTCTTTTAAAGCTATTTTACTCAGCGTGGCTCAGTGCCATCTGCAGACCACAGCACCTACTGGATGCTTTAAATAGACACAGCCAGTACCTTCCAGTGCTCTGCTTTTGCCCAAATCGGTGCCAAATGAACTGTGCTGATAGTAGCCCAACCTGGGGCTCTCGCACAAAAGCTGTTATTTGTAGTCCAACTTTGTAACGGCGAACGCACCAGAACGCTGTGCAGAACTGGAGTTCGCATGAACCATTCAACCAGGCTCCGATCATCGGGCCCCACGTGTAGTCCTGTTCACTTCAGTGGGACGACTTGTGGCATAAGGGACCGGTCAGGGAAAGGAAGTATATTGCAGTCAGGGCCTGCCTAACTCTTATGAACCTTCTCCTGGATCCCTTCCACGTCTTTAACTGTCCTTGACTTCCGTGAGAGCTCAGGGTGTGCTAGGAAAGCAAGATCAAGCGGGAGAGATGGAGTGACTCACGTCTGCTTGAAAGAGGACTTTAAAAGGGTTGTGGTTTTGTTCACTGCACGTATTCTCTGGCTGTTACTGACCTTGTCCTCACCCTTGCGTTTGCGGTGCATTTTAGGACTCGGTGTGCTGTACTGGGCACTTGGAGGAAGTTTCAGGCATCCCCATCCCTTGTGCTGAGATGGATCGGGTCTTTGCATCTCCATCGACTGTTTGATTTATTTGGCCGATGGACGCAGCAGTGATTGTTAGCGAGCCCCAGTTTGTACAGCAAGAAAAGATCAAACCTAAAAGCAAAACCAAATCTCCAATGACTTTGAGATTTCTCTGGCTTTTCAGTGGTGGTCTTCCTTCATTTACTAAAATAGTATTATGATAACTGTTCCAGCACTGTATATATTATGTATAGAAGACATCATTACTAAGAGTACCATAGGTGAATTGTTCTGTCAGATTTATATCTCCAGAACATTTTTAGCTGTTTTCTACATCATAAGAACCAGAGGTAACATGCTGAACCTGTATATAAGCCTTTTGTACATTAAAAAGTAATTTTTTTTCATAACTTTGTCTGTCATTGTTGGGGGTGCTGGGGTGTCACCAAGAAAGTGGACCTCCTGGTGCTAGGTGTAACAAAACGATGGTCTCTGCTTTGAGGAACGTGCAGGCTAAGTACGCCATGAGCACCCACCAGTGGATGCAACCATTCACGGAGCACAAGTGAGTGTGTTGTGATCAGCGTGCAAAACAGCACTCCCTACACACCAGTTGCCTATCCATTACCAACTGGTTTTATAGGCGTCGTGGTACAGGTGAGTTGAAAGAAGGATATAGTTAGGCACAACTGATATGACTTTGGAGGGCAGTGTGGTGCCTTTCTAGGATCTACATGTAGCATGAAGGGGCTTGTTGGGAAACTGGACAAATACCTGTTAAGGTGCAAGGAGAGACAGGAAGTAGCAGTGCTGTAGCACAGGTGGGATGAAACATGGCGGGGGAGTGATTTAATGGTGGGCTTGAGAGTACATGGATGCCTTTTGATGTGGTGAGTAGGCAGCCAAAATGTCAGCTTCCTCTCTGATATCCTGAGCAGAGGATGCATCCACCCAGGTCAAATTCAGCCCTGGCCTGATGCCCATTGAAGGGAACAGAAAGACTCTCCAGATTTCAATGCGAACAGGCTCGTCCTCTTGACGGCTGCTTTTGTCTTGATCACACGGTGGCAGGGTCATGTGAGTAAGAGCTAGAGCTTTAGAGGGACTCTCTAGTGCAAGTGGAGCCATTGATCACCTTTTACGCAGGTGTTTTAAGGTTCGGGTTGCAGTGAAGATGTTAGGCAGCAATAAACTCAACTGATGTTCTGTAAAATGCACCAGAAATGCGAGCAAAGGCGACTCAAGTGGTCTAACTCCAGGACAAACTCCTTTGGTTTCAACAGCTGCCAGAGCAAGCCGTAAGCAAGCAGGAAGACCTTAGTGTCCTCTCGTTCCAAAAGGGAGCTGTGAGAGAAGACTGCATTGCAATAAATCCTTCCTGGCTATGAAACGACTGTGCCAAGTTATCACGCTGTTCTCCGGCCTCTGAGATGAAAACGGCCATGGATTGCTGTTTCCCCAACCTTGAGAAACCTTTACATTTCCCCTTAGGCACAACTGATATAACTGCAGCCAAAGGCTAAAGGGCCTTCTGAGTTTTAGTGTATTTTGTCCAGACCTAGTCAGTGTGGGATGGATTTGAACAAGTATCCAAAAGACGAAGGGCGGATTGACCTATTGCCAGTCCTACTAGCCCTAAAATCCCAGCGGGTGTCTCTCACGCTACTGTCTACTAATCCAGAATGACCAAAGTCACATTAAAAGGTGTCTTTTCTCATTAAGGAAGGGGAATTTGTTTAGACTTTGATAACTGTTGTTTTTTCTTTCCACTTTAGGGCCTGATCTCTTCTTTAGGGAGTTTTTCCATTGACTTCAATGGCCTTCAAGACAGGGGCTACGGCCAGTCTCCTCAAAGGTGCCTAGCTCACATGGCTTTCCTATTTATTTAACACTTAGAGGTGGGTTCAAGTTGCCCAGCTGAGGTCCTAATCCAGATGTAAACTTCCATCAAATCTGGGGGACTTTGGAGGCAGGGTTTAATCAGGCCCCATCTCTGCTCGTATTAGAAATTTTGCATTGCTCTGAACTGGAGCTAGCGCTTCCCTGATGCCCATCGGAGTAACTTGCACATTTTTATTGCTTGAGCATCCTGGAATACGTAGTACAGTGGGTGTCTGTGTTGCTCAAAAAGCCGCTTGTCCAGAACTGGAGACACAGAAAGTGATAATCCTTTTGCGACAACAGAGGTCCATTTAGAGCCATGTGTTTGGGCAAAACTGGCATCAGGCGCTTTTGAGTAAATACTAAATAATAAATGTGGGAGCTTCATACTTTTTAACTATCATTCATTTGAATCAGTCACCTCCATGACAAATATAATCTTCAGGTGAGGAATGCATTATTGCATTTGGAAATCCACGGCGCTGAGCAAGAAATAAGATCCTACTCAACATAAGGCCATCACAGCCCTTTGAATTTGCACTCATATTTATTGTTGTCCATGGAGGTAGGGAGAAAAAGCCTATCAAAGCTACTGTTGCTGGATCTCATTGCACATTTACTGAGTACAGAGTCATTCCAGCAGCCTCTTTATTGCAATGGTCTCAGCCGAGATGACATAGGAGCTCTGGTGCTTTACGGGCAGTTGGATCTACTTGGAAGAGCATACAGGTTATAAATAAATGGCATGTTTTATATTATTGGAAGGACAATTTATGGCCAAGCAAGGCCTCTTGCAGACAGCTATTTAACTTGTAAGTAAAATGACCTAACTCTTAAGAAATGTAGAAGCTACAAAACAACCTGTGTTGTAGCCAATGTATTTATTTCTCCCACATGATTTATGTTTCACATAAAACTTTAAGCAGCTACTTTAAATATGTTTGCTATAAAAATAACATTTAAAAAACCCAAAGCGAAGCTTTTACATATGCTGAAGGGGTTTGTGGCTACTGTAACCTCCACCAATTGCACCATATCTGCGGCTCATCAGGCAGTCCCACGGCCTAGATTTTCAGGGCCTGAGCTGCCCGACTGCTGCTAACTTTTAAGGGTGTTGCCGAGTTGCACCGGTGCATGCTTGCTGCAAACTTGGTCCTACTTATGAGTGGTTTCTGAAAAAGACTTTTGCTTATTGCTGATTGACAGCTTCTTTCTAGAAGGAGATCCAGTCTCACAGGTCTGCAGGCTTGGGTTGGTTTTTCAAATCATTGCACAGCTTCCCATATCACTTTTCATTGATTTGTACTGTGATCACGCCTAGGAGTGCCTCAATCAGGAACCAGAACCTTATGGGTTTATGCACCATAGGAGCACAGTGAAACAGAGAGCACCTGCCCCCAAAAACCTAACCACCTGCCCCCAAAAACTTATCATCTAAGTAGAAGAATTTTGTGTGTCTTATCTAAAAGCATTCAAGACTCATGGTAGAAGTGATATCTTTTATTAGACCAACTAGATTTTTGCAAAAAAAATCTATGCATCCTACAGCGTCTCTGAACACTTTACTGCTACAAAAGTTGCCTCAACACACACATCGGTGGGAGAGAATGAGAAAAACTGCGAGTGGAGATTGGAGAAGACAATGCTCAGCAGTGGGAGACTGAAGCAGAGCTCCACAACCAGCTTGGTTATGCAAGAAGGTGAAAGCAGCTGAGCTACGTTTGCGGAGGGGATACGGAAAGGGCAGTTCTGGCTGTCCAGTTAGGAGGTGTGATGCATGGAGTTGTATTTGCTGGCCCCAACTTGCACAGCAGCATGTGGGGTGTGCAATGGTTTTCCTCAAGCTCCTGGGCTTTGCTGGTTGCCACATGGGGCCAAGAAGGGATGTTTTTTTCCTCTCCTGTTGCAACACGAGGGGGGCGGTTTCCACCTTCCTCAGAGACATTGGGTGCTGGTGATAGCCAGCCCGGGAATTTTGAGTGTGGTGTGCCATCTGGTTAGAGGGTCTTGCCCCTCCGCTCAGGGTCAGACCAATCACCGTATCTGGGATCATGAAGGACTTTTACCCCACAGTCAGATTGGCATGGAGGGTGGTGGTGGCAGGGTGGGCTTGCCTTCCTCTGCAGTGGGGAGTGTGGCCTCCTTCCTTGGAGCTCTTGAGTGCATTTTAACCCCCCCTGCAGTGGTGGGCCCCTGATGGCCCTCGTCCCCCTGCTTTCCCTGTGGCAGCTCAGATGTTTTTGGTGTCTTTGGGCAGTACAGTTTATTGTGTCAGTTTGAGAACAGGTTAGACAAAGACTTGTATGGGATGGTTTGGATAGAGATAGCCCTCCCCTGAGCAGGAGGTTGTAGTAGATGACCTCTGGCAGTCCCTTCCAGCTCAACTTCTCTATGTTTCTATGAATGCTTGGCAGTCAGGCTGCAACACCAGCCTTTTTTTTTTTAATTCAAGGAAGTGTATAACTGCCCCTGAGCCACAGCAGGAATCGTAGGAGAGCACAATGTCAGTGTTAGGGTCAGAATTTGGCCAGGTTTCCTGCTACCATTTGATGACCCTGGTAAGAGTGGGGGAGACATGAGAGGTGGATGTGGAGTCTCAGGTGGAAAGCTTTACCTATTTTCTTCCTGTGATTTTGTGCCTCCAGAAATACCCCCTTTTTTTATGAAACATCTTGAGAAATGAGTTGCCCCAAAGCAGGGAAATGTATGAAGTCACATGTGTGTGGAGAAGTAACACGTGCGACTTCAGACCCCTATCCCAGGAGGATGAGACAAAAGCTCCACTGTCTCTGAGGCTGTGCCCAGGGTTAGGGGCTCAGGGGTCCTCAGCTCTTTCACCTCAGTTACTTTGCCCAGAGGGAAAGACATCCGTGAACAAAAATGCCAATTTCAGTTGGTCGTGTTTTGGGGGGGGCGGGGGGGGTCACGTTTTGTTCTTCATAATCTTAAAAAGAGCCACAACTCCTGCAGAGCTTGAGTTTTCTAACCCAAGCATTGCCAGTTTGAAACTGGTCCACCAGACAGAAATCAAGAACAAATCCAGAGGTGAGATGGAAGGTAAAGATAGGACTACATAAGCAAAAAGGTCTTGAAAAGCATGTAGGCTGGAAATGGTTTGGCAAAACTATTGGAGGAATGCTTATAAACCACAAATGCAATTTGTCCTGTTTATGAATGATGCTAAATGCCTCTGTAGCATGAATTTCTCTATAGGAACAGTCTGACAATCCCCAGTGTGAGCAGTATTACCCTCACTTCACCGCGGCAGAAAGCAAGGCCCTTGAAAGTTGACTGATCTGCCCAGAGACTTATTGACCTCTGCGTCTTTAAGTGGAATTCAGTAGTAATATGTGAAATCCAAACGTGTTAAAGATTTAACATCACTCCTGGTACATCGCATGTACGAGCCTCTTGGTGACATCTCAACGAGCAGTAAGAGCCTGGTTTTTACTTTTGATTCAAAAGGCCTCAAGCACCTATGCTGAGTCAAGAGAGTGCTTCATGTACGATCAATGCCACTTGCAGCATG